ATTTTGGTCAAATGTTAGACCAAATAGAGAGAATGTACCCAACACTTCCAGAGGAAAACGGTTGGTCCCCTACTGTATCATGTAGAATTAGCTGTAGAAATTTAATCCACAATAAATTTAAGCAGCAAAATAGGCATATTTTATTATGAAAAGTCTCATGTTATTGTGGGGAAGGATGAAGAAATTTGCTCTAACTTGAGCTCTCAAGAATTTTCCCCCAAAACTGCACTGCAAATCGGTCCATGAGCGATCACCAGCCCTTGACATGTGCAGGAAAACAGCACCAGGGACTGCTTGACAACTGCAGGAAGCCATGGCTGTACCTCTCAGCTCCAACACAACCCATGTCACCAGCACAGACAGCCCAAACCCTTGCTTTACACCATCAGCCAACTCAAGAGCAGCCATGGGGATTTTGGCTGTAGTTGCCACAGTCAATGCCAGTTCCTCCCGGTGAGCTCACAGCACTATTGCAGTCAAGGCGATGGAATGCTAGTTTTGAGTGACAGTACATGTTTTTACCTTTCAGATCTCATGTGGATGGACTGGATGGGCAAGTCCAGAGAGGCACCCAAAGCCCAGCGGCTAAGGTGGAGTTCTCAGCTTTCCGGTGCCTCCAGTGTGGGAAGGTTGTTGAGAAGGCTGGGAAAGCCGATCCATCACAGTCAAGAGCACATGCATTCTTCTTTGCACACTTACAGTTTTATTTGAAAGCCAGAGTTGTGGAAAAAGAGATAGACTTTCCATCCCCTGGTTTACTCCCAAAACAGCTGCTAAGGTCTGAGTTGGGTGAGTCTGAAGCCAGGAGCCAGGAGCTTCATTCAGTTCTCCACATAGCTGAGTCTTCATCCAGGCCACACATGGCTGCAGGGACCTAAAGACTTAGGCTATCTTCAGCTGCCTTCCCAGGTGCATTAGCAAGGAGCTGGATTTGGAAATGGAGTAGCTGGGACTCCATCAAGTGCCCATAACTGGTATCCATACGGGATACCAGGACTACAAATGGCAACCTAACCTACTGTGCTACAGCACCAGCCCCTCCATATTTAAACTCATAAGAAATGAGAGCTGCCATGTCACTGTGTGTAAGTACTCTACAAGAAGAAGGAAAAGTCATTACTTCTTAATTTAGTGTTGATGTCCTGTAACCCCAGGGCTCACAAATGTTATCCTGCCTTAATCACCTAGAGGTTTCACACAATACAGATTCCTGGGCCCCACATCCAGCATCTGATTCAGTCTGAGAGGCTGTTCCCAAATTTGCATATAAGTCAAATTCTAGATGATGCTATGCTGCTTCTTCAGGACAAGTGTTTGAGAACCAGAGCTACAATCTATAATGTCACAGGCAATCGTCAGTAGAATATTTACAACTTCTTCTGAGTTCTTGTCTCACGTTCCCTTGGCCCTCAGTCAGTACCCAGTTGGCCAAAGTCCCTTGTGGGGATGACCACAGTGAACTTGGAATAGGTGGGCTGCAGGTAGTTGAGCCTATCCCTAGAGAGTGACCTTGGATTATTGCACAGAACAGAGCTGCTCCGCTGAATTCCCCTGAACTCCTTCCCACCCTCCACTAGGTAAACTCTGCATATTCATGAAATACATGAGTGTTGAGCCAAGCCACAAAATTCTAGGCTTTATCTGTCACGTTGACCAATGTTGATTAATCAATACAAGATTTCAAATAATAAAATTTGGAAAGCATGTGGCACTGGATTAATTAACAGTTGCTTGGGCCACTGCGAATGCATGTAACAACATTGGAAACCCACTGCAATCTCACACATTTGGCTGAAAAAAAGCTGTTATGGTGGTAATTTATAAGGCACATATAACCCTGGAGGGTCTAACTCCAGGAGAGCAAATTAGACAATGGCATATTTTTGCTGCTGGCTCTTTAGTGAAGTACAAGTTGAAAGAAATGAGCTGGGCAAGTAATGAAGCAAGACATTCCAGAAGGTCGGGCCTTTCAGTGGTTGGGAAAGCTGACGTCCACTATACTACACACCATGAGTTAAGAGACAGAAGAAACATCTGATCAGCAAAGGCCAATGAAGACTAGTCTTTACGGAAAAATCCAGTGGAAAAGTATTGTTGTTCCCTTCTGAGCCCAAGGGTGTCAAGGCAGTCATGATCAAAACGGCAAGAGAACCATGGAAATGAAGAAGTATAGAGCCAGATTCATGAATTAAATCTAGAAAAGAGAACCTTGAATATTCAGAAAATTGTCCGGAAGGAAAGACTATCTGTTTATTAAGATTTGGAAGGAATTGTGCTGCTCAAGAACCATGAGTCTGGACTAAAATGCATCTTCCTGTTAAACCTACACCAATTGGTAAACTTCTTTTTTTAAAAGATTTATTATTATTTTTAAAATTTTTATTGCAAAGTCAGATATATAGAGAGGAAGAGAGACAGAGAGGAAGATCTTCTGTCTGACAGTTCCACAACGGCCGATGCTATGCCAATCCGAAGCCGGGAACCAGGAACTTCCCCCAGGTCTCCCACGCGGGTGCAGGGTCCCAAGGCTTTGGGCCGTCCTCCACTGCTTTCCCAGGTCACAAGCAGGGAGCTGGATGGGAAGTGAAGCTGTCAGGATTAGAACCGGTGCCCATATGGGATTCTGGCACATTCAAGGCGAGGACTTTAGCTGCCAAGCCACGGCACCAGGCCCAATTTTATCAAACTTTAAAAAAAATTATTTTAATTAACCTATTTAATAGTTTATGCCTCCAATCTCAAAATTTTTTTCTTAAATTTATGCATTTCTTTATGGCTTTGTTTGCTTCTAGGCCACTGCGTCGGGCCCAACTGGTAAACTTGTGGTTGCCACAGTTTACCTGTGAACTTCAGTCAGCCTGCCCCTCCCGCTAAAAGACAGGAAATGGGCACAACAAATATTTGGAAGTATTGCAGCGCTAGCAACGCAGAAGGGTTTGAGAGCTCTGATCCTTGGGAGAAGGGCAACAGGCGGGGTGAGCTGCACACTTGACTAGACCGCCTGTGTGTCCCAGTGCCCGCAACAGCTCAAGGGGAAAGCACACAGGGAGTGCAGCAGACAGAAGTCAAAGTCGCCCAATGGCCCAACTCAAGGATGACAGTCCCCAAGAGCAGGGAACTACACGGCAGAATCTCAAAACCTGTCTCCCCGTTTCCCCCAACCTTGCCTGACTCCCAACGACCCGTGCAAAGAGTGAAGCTTCAAGAAATAGAGAGAGAAAACAAGATTTGGAAAAGGGCCGGTTAAATTGCCTTTGGGTTTGCTATTCCTGCAGAGATTCAACACTTTTTCTCCAAACAATGCTCCCTGGATGGCTACAGGTCTGGTTTATTTTCAAGGTTCTGAAATAGTCAATTCTGACAATACTGCCAGTATTCTCTTTGTGCTTATGAAAAATAACATTTACGAAGGTCCTTTACTGCTGACATCACTTCAAGGCTGTGATTACAACACAGGCCTTCTTACCGCTTGACTAATGCTCCTTTAATTTACATCATGGTCATCAGGACTAGGCGAGGAGCCAGGAACTCTACCTGGGCAGGGCCATCTGCTGCCTGCGGATGCTGGCAATGGGGGGGAGTGGCGGCTTAACTAGATGGACACATTTGATGCTGCTAATCCGGTGTTTACTCTTTAAGAACTGCATCACACTACGTGGTTCTTTCAGCCCACAGACTTAGCCAGTAGTACAAATATTGTTTTACAATTTTCTTACTTTTTACCTAGGACAGGTGAAGCTAATTTTCCATTGGCAGTTCTTTTACCAAGGCTGCTTAAAAAAATAATCAGTGCATTTCCTCAGTAGGTTAAGTCTCCTTGACACTCTTGACATTCCATGCCAGAGTGCCAGCTTAAGTCTCATCTACTTACTCTCCTTTAAAAAAATAATTATTCATTCATGTGAAAGTAAGAGCTATAAAAAGGAAAGAGGGACAGAGATCTTCCATCTGCTGGTTCACTACCCAGGTAGCCAAGAGCCAGCAACCAGGGGCTTCATTCCAGACACCCATCTCTGTGCAGGAGCCCAAGCACTTGAGCCATCCTGTGCTGCTTTCCCTGGCACAGCAGCAGGGAGTTGCATTGGAAGTGGAGCAGCTGGGACTCCAAGCCGAACCTGTACAGGACACCTGGGTTGCAGGTGACAGCATGACTCCATACTGTAAACGCCAGCTTTACTCTGCTTCTGATCCAACTGCCTGCTGATGCTTCTGAACCGGAAGCAAGATGGCACAAGCCCTCGGACCCTGCCATTCGTGCAGGACAGCAGGATGAACACGCTCCTGGATTCCTCCTGACCCACACCTGGCCCTCGTGGGCATCTGTGGAGTGAACCCGTTCATGAACATCTCTGCTTTTCCTTTAGCTCAGCCTTTCAAGTACATATATGAATAAGTCAATAAATACAGAAATAAGTAATTGAGTCCGTGAGCAAGCAAGCCCTTTTAAAGCAGAAAACGGATTGTTATGTAAAGAAAACAATAAATACAGCTATGGATCTACACAGGCGAAGGTAAGACAAAGACTGAAATCTTTGAAACCCATTCTGAAAAGTAAATTAGCTCACTCACAGCGCTCTGCAAAATCCTAGCAGAAAATCAGGGAAATATTAAAACATAAATTGTTCTTCAAAAGGTATGGGATAGAAATATACTCAAAACACGACACGTGTGCAGGCCAACTAGTGTCAGTTGGGAAGGCACTTAGATGTACTGCATGGGTGCGCTGGTAAATTAGACTTACAACTAGCCGGTAAGTTCTGGAAACGTTAAGCTTCTATGGTTAGTTTGCTAAAGACTGTCAGTTCCCAAGCAGGAGATGTCACCGCTGTCAGGGCCCAGTTCCTAATTCCAGGGGGAGGGGAGGCGATAAATAGACCGTGGGGCCTGGAGCCTGGCAGAGGGGAAGGAGCCGAGGGCGCCAGTGAAATCAGAGAGGCAGGCTCGTCTTCAGAATGAAAAAGACACAAATGTGGGACAGGGAGCCACTCCGCATCACGAACCTGCTGCCCGGGCTTCAAACTCAGCAAAGGTGTCTGGGAGCCGCAGCCGTTGTATTTATTCTAGTGACCTGTGATGGGAACTGGTACAGGTCGAAGAGGAGAAGGGCAAGGTGCTGCCCCCTTGGGACTGGCAGGGCGGAAACCACGGGAGCGAGAGCCGACAGCGTGGGCCGCCGCGCCTTTTCCTCCTCCCCTCACAGAGAGCAGCTTCCGTTAGCTTTCCAGTCACATTAGGACCGACCCGCCGCCTCCATATTGACGGCGAGAAGCCGCGAACCACGGCCTAACTGCGCCAGTCCTTCCCGCCACGCCCCCTTCCCCTGCCCCGAGACTCCGCCCTTTTCTCTCAGCGCAAACCACAAAAGGTTGTGCGGTCGCAGTCCCGACTCGGAGCCCCGCCCCCTCCCCAAACGTCGCAATGTTGCGGGGAAAGGGGTGGGCGGAAACCGGTGGGGCGGAGTCGGGCTCCGTCGATCCGCGCGCTGACCAATCGGTGAGCCAACTCCCCTCCCAACCCCTCCCGCGAACAAGCCGCGTCCAAGTATTTTTCCCTTTTTCTGCCACGTCCCAACCATTGACGTGATCCCACTCCTCAGGCTCCCATTGGGTGTGCGTGTTGTCTCCGCCCACCGGCAGAGGTTCTCTATGCCTATTGGCCAGCGCTTGCTTGCTGGGGGGAGGCGGGGCCTGCGCGCGCCCCGCCTCCCGCTCCACGGTCTGGGCCGCGGCGCAAGGGGCGGGACGCGTCGCCGCCTCTGCTTCCGCCGCCGCCGCCGCCGCCGCAGCCGCCCGCCGCCCGTCGCTGCGCGTTCGGCGGGGGAGGAGCCGGAGGCGGAGAAGAAGGCGGTGGTGGCGGGTGGAGGATCGGGCTCTCTTCTCGCTCAGGAGGAGCCGCTGCATATTTCGGTGAGGGCCCCTTTTTTTTTTTTAGTCTGCTTTTTTTTTCTTCCTCCGGTTTGTGGGGATGTCAGGAGTGTTGAGGGGGGGTGGTTCGGGGTGAGGAAATGGCTGCCTTCACGTCCTTGTGTCTTGGAGCCGCTTCTCTCAAGGCGCGGGGGGCCCTGTGCCCGTCTCGCTGCGCCGGCCATGGTGGGTGGGGTTGACGGTCCTGCGAGAGAGGCCTTCCTCGCCTGCTGGGCCCTGTCCGCGCCATCACTTGGCGGTGGGGGCACCCCATGGCTCGGCTCCTGGGGTGTCCTCTCCCTTTCCCCGGGGTCAGCCATTGCCCGGGACGGAGAGGGCCGCGGCGGGCGGGCGTGGGGGGCGGGGGTGGTCCCGGCCGACCGCTGTCCTTGGTGCCCGGAGAGCCGAGGACCCCGCCGGCCAGCTCCCCACGCACGCTCGCGGCCGCCCACCAACGCCTGCCACCCGGCGCCCCCTCGCCGACAGGCCTGCAGCCCCCTCCCCCCCCAAAACCTGCCGTGGCCGTTGCCCAGCGGCTGGAGGTGCAATTTTTTTTTCCCCCTTCCCCGAATTGTCACCGAGGCTCGGGCACGCAGACAAACTGCCCCGCTCTTGTCCACACCGTAGCCTCCCTGCACACCCCCGAGCCGCTGCACCCCGGGCTCCGGCCTGTCCCCACCCCCCAACCCCCACGGATGACTGCTTAGCTAATCATTTTGCGCACTTCCAAAATGGTGAGTTTAAAGCCTACCCGGACCCAGCCGAGGAGAAGTGAGGGCATGGGGGGGGGGGGGAGCAGTGCTTTTTTTTTTGCAGGGAGCAAGAATGACCTGGGAGATTTCCGGGCCTAGACGCGAAGCAGAAAATGACAAGTGTCCGTAGACACTGCCATCAGGCCGCTGGTTCTGTGCAGCGGACGATGGGTCGACACGTAGCTGCCCTGACAAAGATGTAAACCCTTCCTGTGATTTTCGCCCTGGCGTGTTTGGTTCCCGTGTCTGTAAAATGGCTGAAGGCCGCAGCTCGCTGCTAGAGTGTGTGTTAACTAAAAGCTGTGCGGAGTTCCTGTCCGTGCCCTGGAATTTGGTTTTTCCACATGAGAATAGCCGCTTCGTTTTGTAATTGTTGTTAATGACGGCCACACGAGCTTGCTGTGAAATCCGATGGTATCAATAAAGCACTGTTAGGTAAAATGTGAGTGGTTCTTTTTTCGCCGTCTTGTTTCACTGCGGTAGCCAGACTAAACAGTTGAGTGTTACTCCTCAAAGTCCTTGTACGCTGGACTTGATATATGCCAAGTTCTTTGGCTTTTTTTTTTTTTTTGAGGAAGCAGTCTGGGCAGCTTTTTCACTGGTGGTTGTAGTCCTGGAGGTCTTTCCTGGTCCTGGGTAGCTGTCCCCAGTTCCTTAAAGGGGAAGTGGTACTTCATGAATTTGAAATGAGCGAGGGCTCATGCAGGCAGTCTGCTTGAAAGACATCTACCTTAATCGCACTTTGCCTTTTCCAGCCAACTTTCTGATTTATTATTAGTTAATGTTTAATAACCTTTGCTCTTTGATTTAAAAAGTGTTCAGTGTGGAGGCATGTAGGGCGCGCAGTACCACTCCTGCTTCTTGTCCTCCTTGATGTCCTAAAACTCAGCCACTGGGAACAGTTCACCAAACTTCCTGTCTGTGCGCAGCAGCGACTCCCAGAAATGAAATTGCTTAGTTAATCGTTCATAGGCATATTAAGTTTTTGGTAACCCTTTTTCCATCAATCTTTTGGAAATGTTTTCTGCTTAAACTTTTGCTCCTACATAAACCTCTCATCTTCATAGTATTGAGTTCCCTTGGGAAAATGTGTTCTGTTTTATTTGCATCTTGCTTTGTATTTTTTTGGGAATAAACATTTATGGTCTTTCTTGCGCTGCACATGACATGATCAGTATTGCTTTGTTTCGTAGTTTTGGTTGTTGTGGATGGTTCAGTCACATTTTTCTTGTGGCTGTAGGATAGCATTTGCGTTTTCTAACTTTATCATGTGTTGAAGTATTTGATTGACTTGACGATGGTTTGGAAGTAGGTGCTGGTAACTCAGTGTCTCTTGCTCCTTGCTGCTAGATGGTATTGGATGCTGGCAGAAGTAGTGGAGCACTCGGTTGTGTTCCTGATTGCCAGGGGAGTGCTTCTGAAGTTTCATGTTTTAGAGTGTTTGCTGAAGCTCTCTAATCAGGAGCCACTGTTAAAATGTTTTGCTGTGTTTTTAGCTCTCCAACATGACTGTGGCCTTTGTTTTGTTGATGTTTTTTTAATAGTTACTAGGAAGGTATTGAGTTAGATGTTTTTGAAGTGTTTTGAGGGGAGCATAAGTATCCCCGGAATTCCCTGGTTGATGTTTTCCTAAGAGAGCAACTTTTTTTTTTTTAAGATTTATTTTTATTTGAAAGGCATTCATCCAGAGAACAGGAGTGACCTCGGCCTTCCATCTGCTGGTTCACTCCCCATATGACCGCAACAGCCAGAGCTGAGCTGCTCAGGAACCAGGAACTTCTTCAGATCTCCCACAGTGGTGCAGGGTCCCAAGGCTTTGGGCCGTCCTCAACTGCCTTGCCAGGCCACAATCAGGGAGCTGGATGGGAAGTGGAGCAGCTGGGACTTGAACCTGGGCTCCTCTGAGAGATCAGCCCTAGCAGGTGGAGGACGCAGCACCAGCGCCTCTGAAGAGAGTGCCTTTTGAAAGGCTAACAGAGCCAGGAAAATCCACTTATTTGGAAACAGAGTTCATTCTGTTTGGACAGATGTGCAGTCATCCCACCTCCATCACCGAGGCGCAGGATGGTTTTGGAACCCAGTCAAGATAGACTATTTTCATCTTTAAAGTATACTGCTGCCATTTTGCAGTGAGTCACACTCTGTCCCTCAGCAACAGCGAGCCCCTGATCTTTTTCTCACTATTAACTTGTCTCATTTGTTCTAGAATTTCATAGAAGTGAATTATATATGCTCTGTTTTACTGTGTTCCTGAGGCTCCTCTACATTTTTGTGTGTTTAGCAGTCCAATGGTAATGATTAAACTTTCCTGAGCATGGATATTTGGCTTGTTTTCATTTGGTGCTGTTATAATAAAGCTGTCGTGAATATTCATTCATTTGAGTTTGTATGAACATGTTTTATTTCTCTTGGTTCTCTGGGTCCCATTCCTAGAAATGGAATTGTGGCCTGGTATGGTGGGTGGTTGTTTACCCTTTTAAGAAGCTGTTTTCCAAAATGGTTGTTCCATTTTACACGTCTTTCTGCTCGTAATATGTGATGATTCTGGCTGTTGATGTTCATCAGCACTTGATTATTTCAGTCTTCCTCCTGTTAGCACTTGGCTGTGTGCATGTTACAGTAGTGCCACAATGTGATTTACTGATGACTAGTGCGGCTGAGAGTTTGATCATATGTATGCCATCCTGACTGAAGGATTGTTTTCAGATATCTGCCCCTATTAAAAAAATGGAATTGCTAAATTGTAAGGACTTTCCTTTAAGATTTATTTATTATTATTATTATAATTTTTTTGGAAAGACATTTATAGAGAGGAAGAGAGACAAAGATCTGCCATCTGCTGGTTCATACCCCAAATCGTCACAACAGCTGGAGCTGAGCTGAACTGAAGCTGGGAACCAGGAGCCTCCTCTGGGTCTCCCATGCGGGTACAGGGTCTCAGGGCTTTGGACCGTCCCCTACGGCTTCCTCAGGCCATAAGTAAGCTGGATCAAAAGTGGAGCAGCTGGGACACAGAACTGTGGCCCATACGGGCTGCTGAGGCTTGCAGGTGAAGGGTTAGTCAGTTGAGCCATGCTGCTCAGTGCAGACTGATGCCTTTGTGAATTTTAAAAGGGAGTAGCACATCCTGTTGTTGTTGTTGTGAGATTATGTGTGTGAAAGAGATAATGAGAAGGAGAGTGCAGACAGATATTTTTGATCTACTGGTTCACTCCCCAAATTGCCACAACACTTGGGCAGGCCAGGAGCTTGGAGCGCCATGTGTGTCTTCATGCAGAGGCAAGGTCTGCTGCAGGCCGCCTCATTTGGGAAAACATTTCTTCATAGTTTACCTTAAAAAGGGGGGCACGGTTCCAGTGTTTGTGCTGTGTTGATTGGCGTTTACAGGCTAGCTCCTCCCTGCTTGGGCTGTGTTGCCAGATAACAGTGGGTTTGGTAGACAGAGGTTGTTCAGTATTTTGTGAAAGCTTTCAGATCCTGGCAATAAAGTAGAGATTTTTATCTTTTAAGGAATTTGTTTCCTATAAGCATTTCCTTAATGTTGTCTCTTGATTATCTCTTTACTGTCTACCAGAT